AGTGCAGTGGCTCCTGGATGACTCAGGATTCAGTTTCTCAACAGGACAGGAGCAGACCGACTCTGTGTCAGCTGCTCTGAGTGCAGTGGCTCCTGGATGACTCAGGATTCAGTTTCTCCACAGGACAGGAGCAGACCAACTCTGTGTCTGCTCCAGCCCAGAGGACCAGGCAGGGGCAGAAGGGAAGTGGAATTCCGGAGGGGCGGGGTTTGGGTAGCTGCTGTGCCCTGGATGTCCCTGGCTCCCCGATCTATCTCTGGGGTTTAGGGAGTGAGATGGAGTTCTTACCAGCTGCTCTGAGTGCAGTGGCTCCTGGATGACTCAGGATTCAGTTTCTCAACAGGACGGGAGCAGACCGACTCTGTGTCTGCTCCAGCCCAGAGGACCAGGCAGGGGCAGAAGGCCGTCCTCATTGTCTTGAGCCGACCCCACTCTCAAGCGGCAAAGAGCAGTACTGACTCTTTTCCTTTAGTGTTCAATTATAGATACTGAACACTTCAAGTCAGGTCGCTAAGTCTAGTTCCAACTTCAGTCTAAGAACTTTGGAAGACAGAACCATCCCTATAAAGGCAGCCCAGCCTACTCATCACAGGACAGTGCTCAGGCTCCCTCCTCTGCTTTCTAACTCTGTCTGCACATATCCTGCAGAAAATAAACTGAGTGTGATCATGAAAAGCAACCAGAGAGAGCTGAGAGTCCTGGACTGAGAACCACTTCCATACAATGAATGTTGTGAATTTCAAGTAATTAAATTATCAAAGGAAACTATCTGAGATGTAGCAGTCACATAATATTCTACTTATTTAAAAATAGAAATGTATATGAGTGTTTTGCCTGCATCTATGTATGTACATTATGTTTTTAATAATAATAATAATAATAATAATAATAACAGTTTTTAAAACTAAGAGTGTCATAATGCAACATATTTTTATTCATTCTCATTCTCTCTCTCTCTCTCTCTCTCTCTCTCTCTCTCTCTCTCTCTCTCTCTCTCTGTGTGTGTGTGTGTGTCCACCTGTGGAGGTCAGAGGTTGATGTTGGTATTTTCTGTCATTCTCTACCTCATTTTTGGGGGAAGGATCTTTGGTAAACCTGGGCTCACTGATTTGGTTGGATGGACTGACCAGGAAGCTTCAGGGACCTTCCTGTCTCTGCAGCCTCAGTGCTGAGATTGTAGACACAGGCACATGCCACAACTCTCAGCTTCTTATCTGACTTCAGGGATCCAGACTCAGATCCTCGGGCTTGCATATTAAGCACTGTACTAAGCCACATTCCCAGCCTTTTTTTTTTTTTTTAATGAGTTAAGAGACAATGGTTTTAATTAAAGGCTCAGGAAAAATACAAAATAAAATGTTAAAAAGAGTAAAGTGATTTTAAATTCTTGAAGCACCAGATCAGAACTTCTGGATAGTCAACTGGAATTTATCCCTCCTTTAAGAATCTAAGGAGCTCTCTGTAACCCAGAGCAGTAAAGCTCAGGCACATCATGCCTTTGCTTTCTCTAAACTCAGGGTCTTATAATTCTATAGAGAAAATAAAAGGAAGAATTTGAAAACAGACTGGGTTATGGGCTGAGTGTGGTGATATGCATACCTTCTCTCCCAGCACTCAAAAGGCAGAAGCAGGCAAGCTCTGTGAGTCAAGGCTAGCCTGGTCTACAGAGTGAGCTTCAGGCTGGTCAGGGCTATAAAGTGAAAGTCTGTTTGAAAAAGCAAATGAAGCAACAATAACTACAAATATAAAAATTGCATTATATTTGAGACTGTGGGCTTTTAAATTGTACTGTAAGTAACCTAAGATTTTTTTCACACTGCTTTTGCAATTCTGGGAAAGCATGGTTTGAATTTCATTTTAAAAAACTGAGACTAAAATATGCACATGAAATGCAGATTTTGGCATGTAAGACTCCATCAGTTGGCTACCCCTAATTTATTGCTTTTATACTTAGAACAAGATATAAATGTGAAAATTTAAAGTTATTAAAGTCTTCATTTATATTTCATATACTTTTTTTTTAAAAAAAGAAAACTCCTGGCTAGGAATTACTCTGTTAAGAAAAAGTACAGGCCTGGAGAGATGGCTCCAAAGTTAAGAGCATTGGGTATTCTTTCAGTAGACTAGATTCAGTTCCCTGTACCTTGATAGCAGCTTACAAGTGTTCATAGTTTCAGTTCCACTTATATACTTTTAGGTAAATGCTCACATACACAAAATGAAACTAAATAAACATTTAAAAAGGTATGAAGGTTACAGACACAGATCAGTGGTAAAGAGCTTTGTAGCACAGTCAGTGCTCTGGCTTTGGTCTGCAACATTGCTTTGACCTCTAATGCCACGGCACAATTCCTGCCGCCCCTCCCCCCCCATGTCTGGGTAGAGTTTGGAAAACATTTTTATAGATTTCCCATTTTTGCACTCAGTTTCAAGGTTACTTAGCTATTCAAGTTTAAAGGCATCCCAGAAATGTCCTTTGCTTTCACCATACACTCTGTATAAGGAAAGGAAGACACAGGAGTAGGACCCTGCCACCCTTTGAAACCACAGCCAATTCTAGGTCTTCAATTCTATTCCATTGATCTTCCTGCCTGTCTCTGTACCAATACCATGCAGTTTTTATCACTATTGCTCTGTAGTAGAGCTTGAGGGATGCTCTAACATATAACAAGGACATATGCTCCACTATGTTCATAGCAGCCTTATTTATAATAGCCAGAAGCTGGAAAGAACCCAGATGTCCTTCAACTGAGGAATGGATACAAAAAATATGATACATTTACACAATGGAGTATTATACTCAGCTGTTAAAAACAATGAATTTGAGAAATTTTTAGGTAAATGGATAGAACTAGAAAATATCCTGAGTGAGGTAAGCCAATCACAAAAGAACACACATGGTATTCACTCACTGATTACTGGATATTAGCCCAGAACCTTGAAATACCCAAGATTCAACTCACAGGCCACATGAAGCTCATGAAGAAGGAAGACCAAGTGGGGGTGCTTCGGTCCTTCTTAGAAGGAGCAACAAAATACTCAAGGGAGCAAATATGGAGACAAAGTGAGGGACAGAAGCTGAAGGAGGTCTGGAGACCATTCTACCTGAGTATCCATCCCATGTGCAGTCACCAAAGGTAGATGCTGACTTCGTGTGGAAGTCAGGAAGTACATGCTGACAAGAGCCTGATACAGCTGTCTCCTTAGAGGTGTGCAAGAGTCTGACATATCCAGAGGCAGATGCTTACAGCTAACCATTGAATTGATCACAGGGTTCCCAATGGAGGAGTTAGAGTGAAGACTGTAGGAGCCGAAAGGGTTTGCAGCTCCATGAGGAGAGCAACAATACCAACCAACCAGTGCTCCCAGGGTCTAAACCACCAGCCTGGGAGCACTTAGGGAGGGACCCGTGGCTCCAGCTGTATATGCAAGGGTGAAGGGCCTTGTCGGGCATAGGTGGGAGAAGAGATCCTTGGTCTCATGAAGGCTGGACGCCCCAGTGGGTGGGAGTTTGAGGGTGGAGAGGTGGGAATGGGGGGGTAGTTAGGGGCACATCTGCAGAGAAGCAGGAGGAGGGGTGATGGGATAGGGAGTTCCTAGGCGGGGGGTGGGGAGTGTGGTAAGGGGATAACATATGAAATGTAAATAAAACATCCAATTAAAAAAAGAAAGAAACCACAGCCAAGGATACTCCTCACTGTTTCGGATGTCGACCACCAGGAGCTTCGGTTTACTGGACTTAGTTTTCTTGGTGGGGGTTTTGAAATGGCCTGTCACTGTCAGCTCACACAAATCGATCAGGTCCTCTGCTGAAATCCGGGGTGATACTTCTGATTTCAGATCACTTAAAGGGATGGATTCTCTTGACTGAAAAAGAAAAGGGCACAAGGAACAAAAATATTGATAATTTTATAGAGACAAACTATAGGCAGATATATTTCAGTATAGCCCAAGGAGAAGCTGACTCTAGCTCAGTTTGGGAAACTGTAGTATAACTGTGCTGCCTTCTAAGCAGACCTAAGACCGTCCCACTAGGTCTCATCTTTTCACCTGTTCTATGGTAGGTGGCTAATTGAGACCAAAGATATTAGCAGTCATTCTTGGTGTTATTTAGTACAGAGAAATATTACCACAACCCCCATATCCCCACAGTAAGCAATGCAATAAATTTAACCCAACAAAAATTAACTGAACAGTACTATTGATTTTGAAACCCTCTGGGATGTAACTTGAGAATTAGTGCTTTCTAGGGCTGGGAATATAGCTGAGTGGAAACCTGTTTGCCCTGTATGCATGAGGCCCTAAAACAACAAACAACTAACAACAAGAAACCCACAAAGAGTTCTTAACATTTCCTTAACTGATAGTATGGTAATCAAGGAGAAATATGTATATGCTTAGTCACTATCAAAATTGAGCCTAATTGTTCTCTCATTTTCTGAGTTTTATTCTGTAATTCTACTCTGGATCCGCAACTTAGTATTCTAGGAAAAAAAATAAACCATATAAATCATTCACCAGACAAATTTGTTATGAAAATAAAACCAAAAATGTGTTCAACTGGAATTTGATGTCAGCTTTCGTCTCTGGAGTTTCTCTGACTGTGCCCTAAAATCTTTAGTGGTAAAACACTTGTCCATTTACCTTGTTAATATCTGAACAGAAATGGAAATGGCTAAGCTTTAATATTAAGAATTAAAGCTACTTAAATATTTTGAAATTAAAAGCGAGCTTTAACATCAGCCTCGCTGTGCGTTTCTTGTGAGACTGCCGTCTTGCAGGTGCTTCTCACCACCTCCATATGAAGCTATGTACATCTTTGGGGAGGAAATAAAGAGCTGTGATTGGCATAGTTCCACCTGCAGTCACTTGGTGATGGATGTGGCATTTAGAACAGAAGCATTATCTGCATGAAGGACATTCCCTGGCTGATAAGGAAGAGTACTTTATAGGAGTGTTCTCTCTGATGAAAGAGTGCTCTGTTCCATCCAAACGGGTACTTGGGTTTTTAGGAAAGAACATTGCTCCATAGTTTTTTTTTTTTTAAACTCTTTATTGATTCTTTGTGAATTTCACATCACGGACCCCAGTGCAACTCATCTCCCTGTCTCTCCATATCCACCCTCTGCTCTTGCAACCTCCCTGCAAAGCAAAGCAAACAAACCAAACTCTGGTTGTGGAAGCTGTGCATCTCCCTGCATACCCTCTTCACAAACAGCTTTACTTGCAAATGCTCATTGCAATGACCACTGGTCTGGTTCAAGGCCTCTAGTTTCTGTTATACTATCCATACTGGATTCTCACCAGGACTCTTCTCAGACATCCTCTTGTTGCCCTATATCATGGATATCCTGCAGCTTTGGTTCTGGAGGGCCAGCTCCTTCATGTTGTCTATCAGTTTATAAATGGGTAGATGTTGGGGCGGCCCAATTCAAGGCCCTGTATCTGGGCCTGAATGGTATCTGAATTGGTCAGTCCGATAGCTCTCCTACACTCATACATTACACGGGGCCAGCTCTCCAGCACTGCCTAGGCAAGGTGCAGGACCTAATTTCTCCCAGTGCTGCTTCCTGTTTGGGGTGGGGACACCTTTCCCTGCTGCACAGTTCTTTCTTTGTGACAAGGTTTCTCTGCACTCTGGCTGTACTGGAACTCATTCTGTAGACAAGGATGGCCTCAAACTCATGGAGATCTGCTTGCCTCTGCCTCCTGAGTGCTGGGACGAAAGGCATGCACCACTATGCCTGATCAAATTTTAAGAGCAGGAGAGGAATCACAGACAAAGCATAACTTTCCAGCCTTCTCTGAATGTATGCAAAAAAAGGATTTTAATATGATATATGCAGCTGCCTCTGTAGATTGACTTTCAGAGTTAAAACAAATGAAGCTATTAGGACAAATTACACTAAGAAGAGCACAGTAAAATTATTATGAAATACATAGTCTAGTACTTTTTTAGTTTCCTAAGTGGTTTTATCATTTATTATAAACTTTGTCCTAAGAGGAAAACAGAGCTTCTTCCACACACCATCTGCCTCCCTGTGCTAGCACCATGTGTGTTGGTGCTTTTTTCTTGAGACTGGAGCCTCTAGCTCACGGTCTTTGTTACAGATGATGCAGAGGGATTTAGAATAACTACATATAACTCAGGTTTTATCACAAGAAAGCTTTGACTGTTTAATATTACATAAGCCTTATGTGTACAGAATTATTTATTTGGTACTTCTAGATTTGAATTCTCAACAATTAAAACTTATCTTTTTTCTCTTTTCTTTCTGTGTATGTGCTGCATTTGGGTATGTGAATGTGTGGGTGTACATGTATATGTGGGCTCATGTTTGCTTGCAGGTGTGTGTACATGTCTGTGTTTAGGCCAGAGGTTAACCTCAGATATCACTCCTTGAGATCCATTCAACTTGTCTTCTGTCACTGGTCTGGAGACAGTTGAGTGTGCAAGGCTGGCTGGCTAGAGCTGGGCATACTGCCATGCTTGCTTTTTAACTTCACCCCGGGGATTGAGTTTAGGTTCTCGTACCTGCACTACTATGGGCAGGGGCATTCCCCCAGCCTCTTCTCTGCTTTGTAATATGCAACTGCCATGCTGCTCAGATTGACCTTGGACTTGTAACCACACCCCCCCACCCCCAGCTTCAGCCTTTAAGTGCCAAGATTAGAGTTGTTTATCACCATATCCAGGAGAGAGCAAGCTTAGATAGTAAAGGTTCAAAATGTAAATCTATCTGAGAATTTTAGAAAAAAAATCATATTGTTTTGTTTGCCCAGAGTCAGAATTTACTTGGCAGATTATTGATGAAAACCCTATAGTAGCCCAGACCTTTGAAATGGCTACCTGCACGGATTTATATAGTCAGTCCCACCAAGTCCCAAGCATCTAAATATGGAAACAAGATATTTTGCTATTTGTAAGCACTGCATTTTGACACTGTGTGAAAGACCTGGGCTTTTACTTCTAATGCATCAGTTCTCCCTTTCGGAGCTATGATGTCTAATGCATATATGTATATGTAGTAATATATTAATTTCATCCATATTATATATATATATATATATGCACTAGAAAGCTTTCTACCCCCCCCCCCACACTTTCAAGCTAATATGAGTGAAACAGGAATTTTAGTAAGGCTCTTGTTTAAAATACAACCCCCCTTCCTCACCCAGTTCAATTCCCCAGTAACTAATCAGTGTCCTGGGTCACCGACCCTGCTCTGTGACTCACAACAGAGGTCTCCCACTGCAGAAGGAGCTCTCGCAAAGGCTTTTGCATCTCATAAACCACAAGAAAGTGGAGATGACATAGCTGCTAAGGGAAACTGGGTGAATGAATGCAAAAGGAAAGGAAGAAAGGAAGACATATGAAATAAAGAAACAGGTCTGGGGATCATACCATGATGAACACATTTTGGCCCTAAAGTTTTAAACATGAGACTGGAAAAAAGACAACGAGTAAGGAAAAGGCAAATTCCTATTTACACACGTGAAACTCAGCTTCCCAGAGTACATCACATTGAAAATATTAAGAATATAGCTAGAGACAGGAACAGAAATTTGTGAGAAGTCACAGCTGGAGGATCATATTAGGTGTCAGCAGATAATTGTAATTAAATTCATAAGAAAAAACTAATTAAAAAAGAAAAATTACAGACATATTGATTTTTGGCAGGCATAGTTATATACTGTAAAGACAACCTTAAATTCTGTAGTATTAAAAGCAGAGCTGAAATGTTTTTTTTAAAAAATTTCAACCAGTTCTCCTTTTTCTCCATGTCATTACTAAGACAACTAAAGTGCTCAGTGTTTCAAGTTCATGTGCGGAGGACAGTCCTCTGCAAAAGGTACAGACATAAACTATCATGTTCAAGCTTTAAGAGAAAAGCGACTTTAAAAACATCGCTCTAAAAAGCCCCATCATCTCCAAAGATAATTTCCCATCCATTTAAGACACTGTATTGCTCCAGTAGCACTTTTAAAGTTTATCTCATTTTTAGAGGACTGGAGGTTCCTAAGACTCAGCCAGAGCATCCTCAACAGTGTCAGAGGTAGCTGCTACGCTCCGGAGGCTGCAGAACGCATTTTCCACACAGGACAGGGTTTGTTCCCCTAAATAGAGGAGAGATAATGTATGTGAGTATGAAATATGGAGAGGAGAGACAGAATTCTTCTCAGTGATTGAGGATTTTATGGTGAAAATTTCACAGATGTGCTCTATAGAAACTGAGTGCAGGCTAAATTTCCTCAGAGACAGTAATTTTCCCTTTGCTTTACAGTATCAGCTTGGGGTATTTCATCCTCTGGGCCTCAGTTTTATGATGACTAATTGAAGAAAGAAGACTAAATTTAAAGACACTATTATTTATTTTAACTCTAGTGTTCTGTGACTTCCTTTCTGATAGGCAGCAATAAACTTTCAAACACCCACTCCCTTCCTTGGACACAAGTGAGGAACTTGTTTAGTACTCTGTTCTTTGAGGTTTACTTAAAAAAGACTCAGTGGTGATCACTGCAGGCCTCCTCGTAAGCAGAACACACACATACAGACAGACCTGTGAGAACATAGCACCAAACCAAGTACAAGTACCACTCCACACAGTTACAGCTGTTTCTGAGAGGATGGACAAGATGGGGGTGGTAGTAATCCAAGAACATAAGTGTCAGTGTGGGTGGGGTGGGGTTCTGAGACAGGGGCAAGGGGATAGTGTAGGCAGGGTAGGAGCTGCTTATACTTGCTTACTTGTATAGAAGTCTCTGGAAGCAATTTTCAAATAAAAGCAGAACCTGATACCTGAAAAGCAGAACCTGAAGAGGACGAGGCTCCACTCCCCCCTGGAGGTGGAACATCTACTTCTTGGAAGGGGCTACTTACCACTGTCTGTAGTTCTACCTATTCCTTCCTAATGACCACACCAAGAACAAGGTGTTAAGTGAGGTCAGCCGAGTGCTTGTTTTATTCTTACTCTTAATTTTGATGAAATATTTGCTGGCTAGTTGTTTGCCAAACTGGAAAGAAGGAACTTCACTTGAGAAAATGCTTTTGTCAGTTTGGTCTCTAGGCAAATCTGTGGGCATTTTCTTGACTAATGATAGATGTGTGAGGGCTCATTGTCTGTGGGTGGTAGTACCCCTGAGTTGATGGTCCTTGTTTGTATAAGACAGCAGACTGAGTAAGCTATGGGGAGCAAGCCAATAAGCAGAGTCCCTTCATGGTTCCCACCTCAGTTCTTGCCTCCAGTTCTTGTGCTGACTCCCCTTGATGATGGATTGTGGTCTTTATCATAGCAATGGAGAATAAACTAGGACACAGTCTTTATTTACTATCATGACAGCCAACCATATATATCAAGTTAAAAGACTCAAAAGTTTCAGCAGAAAACACAGAAAACAAAGGAGGGATACTCAGCTGTTTCTAATAACTAATTACTTATTTGAATGCACTATAAACCAGACAATTCTCATGAGAATTTGGGTACAGAAGCACCAAAGTCCATAATGTATTTAGCTGTATTTCTAACTTCTTTCAAATATGTAAAGGCATTTTAATGAGATCAGCAAAGCTATTCATATCACAGCCACGCCTAAAACCAGAGACCATGAAGCTGTACCTTGAATTTATAACGTAATGGTGAGTATTATGGAATGGAATTGACAAATCTGAAGCTGCCTTTCAATTAAATTAACTCTCATGTTTCATATTTTCTTATTGATGATAAAAGAATCTCAGAGGTAATTTTACGACTCATTTGATCTCTGAATCACAAATTAAGAATAAACAAATACAATATTTTTAGAAGAAAAATAGACAAAAGTGTAGCCAGGATAGTGGTGATTGGTGTGGAACAAAAGAAAATGTGTACTTTGAGGAGAGGGAGGGAAAACTTGAGACCAGCAAGGACGCTGTGCAGCTCTACACAAGGCTGAGTCAGGAAGGTAATAACCCAGGTAACAGAGCCACACGGATAGAGCTCAGCAGTCTCCCTGCTGGGGCACCCTCATGGTATGCAGGAAACTGCAGCACTCACAGTCAGTTTGCATATGAAGGTACTAACCTAGTGTAGAGATTAGTTGATTCATAATATGATGACATTATTGGGATGTGGTAAGGTCAGGAGGTTGGGCCCAGTTAGAGGAAGTGAGCTTGTTAATGAGGACAATATTTTGCCTTGGTCCCGCAGTATACACTTCCACTGTCATATTCTGCTCAAGCATATAGGTCAAGAAACTGATAAAACCAGGAACCAAATATTTCTACCCTTAAGATCTTCTGTCAGGTATTTTTGTCACATTTTCATTTACATGAAAACCTAATACATCAAACACACACACACACACACACACACACACACGTTTTAAACACAGGCTGTTTTCAAAAGGCAGGGTTTCTTTTTATAGCCCTGACTGGCCTAGAACTCACTCTGTAGACCAAGTGGGCCTCCAACTCACAGATCCACCTGCCTCTGCCTTCTGAGTGCTAGGATTAAAGGTGTGTGCCACCACTGCCCAGCTAAGTCTTAATAAACTTTTAAAAACTGAAATTATAGAGATGCTTCAGTGGTTAAGGAGCACTGATTCCTTTTCCAAAGGTCCTGAGTTCAGTTCCCAGCAACCACATGGTAGCTCACAAACATCTGTAATGGGATCTGATGACCTCTTCTGGTGTGTCTGAAAAGTGCACTCACATAAATAAAATGAATACATCTTCAAAAGGAAAACAAAAGAAAACAAACTGAAATCATGTCATGTTCTCATAATGGAAGAGAAGCACAGCTTGGCCATATTAGAAAGTATACATGTAGATGAAAATTCAGTAACATGCTACTATAAGACCAATGCTAACTGGAAACTTTAAAAAGAAATACAAAATGCTATAAGCAAATGAAAATGATTGCAACATACCAAAATCTATGAAGTCTGGGCAAAGAGGCACTTTACAGAGAAGCATGCAGTAGTCTACAGGCAGATCAAAAAAGGAAAGCTACTTCACACGACTCCTCAGCACATCCTAACAGTCTGGAGTGAGAACAAAGAAAACCCAAAAGTAGAGAAAGGACAGATAACCAGAACGGAAATTTTAAAAAGTAAAATCAATCAAAGCAGTTTGATGTTGTTTGTAAGACAGGCCTTGCCTTTGCAGCCAAGGTGACCTAGATCTCCCTGTCTCCACAGTGGGGAAATGACAGACAAGGGCCACCATGCCCTGTGACCACCATGCGGAGTGAATGAGCTGTGGGTTTTGACAAGGTAAATGAGACCGACTAAATGTTCTGCTTTAACAAGGAAGAGTGAGAAAACTCAAAGTCAGAGGTGAAAACAAGGATTTTCACAGCACAGAAATACAAAGGACCATGAGAAACCCATATTAGATACTAACAATGTGGAAAGCCTACAAGAGATGTGTACATTTCTGAATACATAGTATCAAATTGGAAATCTAAATATGCAAATAATGAACAGCAATACTGAATAATTAAAATCTCCCATCTGAGAAAAGCCTCAAGAACATGAAAGATTTGTTGCTGAATTACACAAAATATTTAAATGACTTTTCAAATTCCTCTTAAACATCTTCTCTAACTGAAATGGGAAGAACTCTGCCAGCATTAACTTAGTATCAGAACCATACACAGATCCCACACAAAGGAAAACTAAAAACATATACCCTGGTGGCTATAAATGCCTATGTTCTCTATAAAACAGTAGCAAACAAATTCGGTATCACAATAAAAAAACCAGACCAGGGTTCAGTATGACTCATCCCAGTGATGGCGTAATGGTTCAAAAATAAAACAAATCGGCCACTGTGACTCACCTCTCAGAATGGAGGAATCACCTCAACAGATATAGAAAGGACACTCAATAAGATTTAACATTCCTTTATAGAAAGGACACTCAATAAGATTTAACATTCCTTTATAATAAAATTCATTTATTTGTCACTCAGGCCTGGTGGTACATACCTTTAATCCTAACACTCAGGAAAAAGAATAGGCAGATGGCCAAGTTTGAGACCAGTCTGATCTACAAGTGAGTTTCAGGCCAACCAGTTATATTTAGACCTTGTCTCCAAAAACAAACAACAAAAGCATAACATTGTCAAGAAATTAGGACAAAATCTCAAAACAGTAAAGGTTATGTTTAAAAGGGTAAAAGATAAAATAAATCTTAAGAAGGATGGTAAAAAGATAAAAAGAGAATGACAGTGTTCATGATTTCCCATGTTTATAGATCAGAAGACTTAAGGTTCAAATGACCTTAGTATTTCATTGTTCAATATAATTCTCACCAAAATACTGAAAACCTTTATCACATAAATAGAAAAAGCCCTAATATGTATGTGGAAGCAGGAAAGACCAAGATAAGCTATAAAAATCTAAAATCTAGAATGCGGGAAAAAGGTAGTACAATGTTTGACTTCAAAACAAAATTATAACCAAACTGTGGCATTGTTATACTACATACATACATACATACATACATACATACATGCACACATGCACACATGCACACATGCTCGCATGCACGGAAGAAAACAAAAATTTAAAGTAATTTAAAATCATATAGTCAAATATTATTTAACAAAGACACCAGTATCCAGTAGAGAGAAGACGATCTATTCAATAAATGTCCAGTCTCACAATGATTAGGTAAAAGCAAATCAAAAGCCTGAGAAAGCAGTGGTATAAGTCTGTATTCTCAGCACTGGTGAGGGAGGCAGGCACACTGTGAGTTAAAGAGCACCTCAGGTGTCCAGGGGTACATGGTGAAGAGTCTATCTTCCTCAAAACAACAATGACAATAAAGCACTAAGATACATCATCCTATCTCAATTAGAAAGGTTATTATCAAGAAGACAGAAATAGCAAATGATGATACAGATGGGAGAAAGGGTGGTGGGAATGTAAATTGTATAGACATTGTGGAATACCATATAGGATTCCTCAGAAAACTAAAATAGATGCACTCTACTGATACGGTGAATGTACCACTGGGAACATATGCAAAGGAGACAATCTCTGTACTAAAAGGATGCATGCACTCCTATGTTCACCATAGTGCTGCTCACAGAACTAGGATATGGAGTCTATGTAAATGCTCTGAACAATGAGTCCGTATATAACACGACAGAGCATGATTCAGCATTAAATATGAAACTGCCATTTGGGGTAACATGGATAGAACTGGTTTCATTATGCTAAGAGAAGAAAGTCAGACATAGAGAGTCAGATACCACATCTTGTCATTTCTGTAAACTTGTAAGTCAGTGTCATGAGAAATGGAATGGGACTGTGGTCACTGGGGACTTGGAAAGGCCTGAGAGAGAGTGAATCAAAAGAGGTTTTGTAGAGAGACAGTAAACCACAACTGGGAGGAAGAATTAGTTCTGGGTTCTCTATTACATATACAGAAGGGTAAGTAGAGGGTCAAACAATCATGACATATTTCAATGTGACCAGAAGAGGATGAAATTCCAACATATGAAGATGATTAGTGTTTGAGGGGATGGAAATTCTTATTACCCTGATTGCATTACTATACATTATATACATGTATTTAATTACTAAAATGTACTGCATAAACATACTACAAATTCAGTCCCAATAAAGAGAAAACTCAATAAACTATTTTATATATACTATTTTATATGCAAAAGTCTACAAAACAGAACAGAAATTCTAATTAAAATGAACAGTATGAATGTATAGGTATAGGTGAATTACTATAGCACTTAGACTAGATACTGTTAACTTTAAAATTGTTAAACTAAAAATCTTCATATCTCCCTTCTGGTGTAATGGAGCTTAAAATGTGATACTAAGTCCTCAGAGGTGGTGTAGGTGTGGCTGCTGTGTCACTGTGCATCAGTAGATGGTAGAGAAGAAAGAGAGGATGTCTACACTCAGTGTTCTGACCTATTAACATCTGAATGATTAGTAGCCTAACATTCCCTGAAAAAAGCCAGCCTGAGATGACTACCAGTCTAGTCTGGCACCTGGGGGCCCAGACTGGGAGCTAGCCTGAGACAACCACCAGTCCAGTACAGCACAGGCCTGGAAGGGCTCCCAGGGCAGGGAGTGATCCAGAGACTTAGAAGAACTACAGCCTAGGACCATGGGCCCCTCTCTTACAGATCCCAAACTACAGGATCTCCATGACACAGAGCAACAACAGGATAGCTGAGAGGAGTCCCACTGAGGATCCAGTATTGGTAGAGCAACAGAAGCCAGAGGCCTTGCACCAGACCAATGACTCAGGTCAGTGAACATCTGCAAGCAAATATGAATGGACAAAAGGGTGTTCTGTGGGACACACTGCAGCTTCCCCACCTAGATTTTTTTCTCTGTTGGGCATTAGGTTATAAGAGTGGAGGGCAGGTATGGGGGGGAGATGAGTGGGATTGGGGTGCATGATGTGAAGTTCACAACCAATAAAAAGTTAAAATTGTAATAAGCAATCCAAGACAGGGAAATATTGCTAAAAGTTGCAGGCAATCTTTTTGTGATGAAGTAAATCTTTAAGATATTATATTGTCTATAAAATGTAAATATGTAATTTGATACATATATCCCATTAATATTTTAAAAATATTATTTGACAAAATATGAGATGTTTAAGTAAGCACAAATTTTACTTATAGAAATAAAATCACTACTCTATTTTAAAAGCAGAGAGTAATTTAATTGGTTAAAATCACAGGGCAGGACAGAAATCACATGAAGTCCTACATAAGTAGACACAGAAAAGCCATTTGACAAAATCCAGCATTCCTTTAGGATGAAGGTCCTGAAGGAACTAGGGATTATGTGAACACCTCAATGCAATAAAGGGCATCTATGACAAAACTGGGTTTTATAAAAAGCACACTGAGTAAGCCATAGGGAGCAAGCAGGACTCCTTCATGGCTTCTGTTTCAGCTGTAGGTTTCTGCCTTACGTTCCTTCAATGACAGAACTGTGATACTGAACTGTAGAAAAATAAACTCTTTCCTCCTACCTCCCAAACAAAAGAAAAAACCTGCACAGTATTGGCAGAAAACCAGATACAAACATGAGTGGAATAGACTAGAGGACCAAGACATGAGTAAGTCCACGTAGCTATAGCCACTTAGTTTTTGACAACAACAACAACAACAAACAAACAACAACAACAAACAACAACAACAGTGAAAAAGCCATACTGGAGAAAAGAGCCTTTTCAACAAACTGTGCAGGGAAAACTGAACATGTACACATAGATGCAAAGTTAAAGTCTGAAACACTGAAACTGCTATAAACAGCTGAGGATACGGGCGCATCTCAATATACAGGCTGGAGAAGCGATGCGGTGGATAAAGATGGTTGCTGCCAAGCCTGGCTACCGATGATACCTGGAACCCATGTGGTGAATAGTAATCAGCACCTACCAGTTGTTCTCTGATCTCAACATGTGCACGTGGTATATGTGTCCACTCATACAGACACAAAACACGTTTGAACGCTTTGCAATGCTACAATTAACTTCAAAGGAATGCTAAGAAACAAAAAGACATACTTTGTTTTTTCCAAAAAATTTCCTATCAAAATTTCCTACCTAAAAAAAAGAAAAAAAAAACAAACAAAAAATTTCCTACCTATAAATTTATTTGTAGCACACTTAGGATTTTAATAACTTCTTGGTATAGAAAAAGAAACTCTAAAAGATGATGTAATTGATAAATAACAAAAATATGCATATAAATCTGGTTTGTCACAAAGGGATATTTAGGCAAAAAGAGTAATTTAGTTTGTTCAAGAAAATAAACATCTTCATATTAAACTAGCCATTTGATAAATAAAAAAGTTTAATAGTTTGTTAGCTCGACTTGATTGTCCCTTGGTAAGTGGTCATTTTGCTTGATTCTTATAGGACTTCTGAATCATAACATCACACACACACACACACACACACACACACACACACACACACACAGAGAGACAGACACACACACATACAACCAGTGTTAGCTAAACTTTATTCATTGGGCTGAAAGATCGGGAAACCCCTCCTGGCTGGACTTGTCTCAGGTGTGTGAGCTGCAGATAAAGCTCTGGTTTCACTTTTCTTATGGTCTCAGTCTGTGTTAGTATGTGTACAAAATAGGACAAAACCCATCAAAATTAAAATTTTACACCTAGGTTGAAATGTGATTTTTGAACTCATGTCACAAAAATTGCTTATTTACTTATCTTATATTGATATCTTATATGAAGGACTAAGTGGGCCTGAATACATGGGACACTTGCCTTGAAATTTGAAAATCATTAGGCTTCCTGGATCCTGTGTATAATGGTGTCTCTCTCATTGCCACCCTGTCTGTAGAATTGTGCCAGAATCTATTTCCCTTTAAATGTCACAGAATGGCAGTGATTCATGAAATGACATCCTTGAACTTTGAGGTTGTGTAAGGAACATCTCTGTGCAAGACCCCAGATATTCATTAGCTAGCTGGAGTCAGGCTACTGTGCCCATCACTCTCCGAGAAGAAAATGTATTCTGTAGACTCGCTGGTGGAAAAACATTGCTAGAAGATCTGTGTCAAATCAACTCTGAATTAAATCAGGCTGCTCAGGAAAACTGTCACCACTGCAGCCTTCCCTCCAACTTCATGTGGGTATGCTAATTAGCTGTGAGCACTGCCTGCTGCCCGTGGAGACATGTGCCCCGTCTCACATCAGCTCAGCTGCCAGTCTGGACCAAACCTTCTTTGGATACTCTACTCTATATTATGCCAATGTTACTTTTGCCAAAAAGAAAATAATTTATATTTTCTTTTGTTTTCCATTAGAAACATTTTCATAATTCTGCTTCTATCACTCCACCCCCAATCCTCATCAATATAATGTATTCTATAATTCTCCTGGTACATGTTTTGTCTGACCATGGACATACTTTCTGTGTTCATTTCACCTACAGGACATGGCTATATTCAGAAGATCCTTGCATACAGTGGGATGGGGGAGCTGTGTTTACAGAGCAACCACACCAAGATTATAGCTCAGAGAGCAAGCACTTTGATATGCCACTACAAATTCTCATTTCTCCAAGATAATTTCACAAAATGATAAAAGTACATGTTTAAAAGATAGTGAAAAATACCAACTATAATTTCTAAGTTTTAGATGGCTACAGGGAAACAATTAGATGTTTTTAAAAATGAGGAGCATATGAAGGTTCACTGCGAAAAGCAATAATGACCAAGCACCCCTAGTTTACAGTTCCTTGACCTGGAAAGTGAGACTTATTCTTAAGTTATTTGGTTATAATATTTACTTAAATGTCTCATTTCACAAAGTATCTGAGCTAACTTTTAGCTCAACTTGTACTCTAATACATGCTTTACTTTTTATCCTTTCCTGATACATCATTTCCAGCTGCCAAAATAGTTTTCTGTGTACTGAATTAAGTGATATCCCAAATCTGGAACTGATACTGGGAGAAAGGATGTTTATATAAAATGATAAAAATCTTGCTAACTCTAGACTTGAGGAGCTCTGTTTTAAATAACAACTGGGCTCAGAAAAATGAAGAACACAGTTGTAAATGAGGCATGACAGACACTGCAGGTTTTCTTCCTCTTTGTTTTCCTCATTCCAAACCAACTTTCTTCATTTCCATGTATTTACCAAGGTACTTAAAACAGATCCAGTCCACGTTAATGTGAAGTGAATCAGGTACTGAGCATGTGCTCAATAAAATATGCTAAAAGAATAAATATTATCCAAAATTCACCTTAATGATGACAAAAAGAAAAGAAAAAGAATATTCCCCTCTTAGACAAAACAAAATCCTTTGGAACATGGTGGACTAGGAGACCCATCAGAGGGCGTAAGACAACAATTTAGGAAATAAAAGGAACAAGAATAATTTACAATCAGCTACTTCTCCAGGTTCCAGCTCCACTGGTCAACAAACCTCTGCTACAAGTAGACATGAACTTTCTCTACCACCAGACTGCCCTTGCTTGCTGCATTTTACTCCAGGCAAACTAGACTAAAAAAAAAGCAAAGATAGTGCTAGTATAGATTTGAAAGAAGGGACTCCAGCAACTACTGCCAGGGCCTCCATCAACATCCCAACAGGGAAAAACAAGACCTAAACACAAACATCAATCCATGTACTTTGGGCATCATAGAGCCAGCCATTCCGACCCTGGGGGGAAGGGGGGCTCAGCAACCACAGTGGGGCAGAATTTGCCTTAGTTGTTCACAGCCCACAGTCCACAGGCAACAGAACAGAACCAAGAAATCCATACATGCAAAGACAGCCGGAAGACCACAGAAGAGCTCCATTTAAAAGCATATGGAGCATGGCCTAGTCCAGGATCAGAGAGAAAAAACCCAGTAGATCCATGAAGAAACAAAATTGGCATTCAGGGCATGATCTCATTTTCTTAACATGTTCGTCCAGCTCTCCTCCCCCACTACAGCTCTTCTTCATCTCCTGAGTGTCAGTGATCTTCTAGCTCCACCCAGCAGCCTCTCTACAGAGTCTTATCTATGCAGCACAGTAGGGCACAGCAGGCAACACTAGCCCCTACTGTTAGTGCCTTTTTAATGAGTCTCTGCTTCTCCTTTTCTTCCTTTCTCTCTCTCATACCCCTTCCTCTTACTGTCTATTTCCCAAAGCGCAGACGCTGACCTGGTTTACAATATCTAGGCACATATCCTTACCTCTCTTTAAAAGTCTAATGCTAACCAAAGCCTCCACACATCTACCCACTTTTTCTTCTGTCCCAATTATTCCAGTTCCTACGAATGTCTCTCCTCTACTTCCCTCTACAACTCAACATTTCTCACTAGAGTCATAGTGATCACTCACCCTTTCCTTCTCTTTCTCTCATACTAAGGCATTAGCACAGGCGGTACCAATGGAGGCCTTTACTCCCTAAACTAGCCTGTACTTAGCAAGTGTCTGTTTCCAGTTACCCA